TCCGAAGCACTGACACTTTTCCCTCTCTTCAGCATTCCACACCCCTTCCACCCTTTTCATTGCTGTCGCCGTGAAATCCATGCACTCCAAAGCATCTCCTAGTGTCTATGTAGTATCTCGAGGATATTTTTGTCTCACAGACCATAGATGTGATGATAAGTATTTGAGTTTGACCCCTCACTATTTATGAAACCTTTGGCGTGCAAGGGCGCAGCAAGACTGGCAACAACCGTGGAAACACTTTAAAATATTTCCTTGTTTCACACACCCCTAACATTCAATTGAATTCCTCCCAGAGACTAGAGGATGGCAAATGGAAGTTCTTCCTGAACATGATGCCATCCTAACTGAAGCATCATTCAAAATCACAGTATTCAGCTACCACACCGCTTCTGAACTGCAGCTGTGATTTGTTCTGATGTTGCACAAATTCTATGAAGGAGAAGTCGCCTTCATTCTAATTGCCTCCAGGCGACTTGACCAAAAACGCATGTCGGCAGGCAACACAGTTGCACCTAGTTGTGAAAAATCTGCCTATTCCGCGATGATGGTGAAGTAACATATTCGACAAGTCTTCAGCAAGCCAAGGACTGCGTTCCACAGTGGAGGTATAACGTACAGACTCGCCTTTTCACACACTATACTGCTGGGGAAACTGAGGAAGCACTGAGAGATCCACATCATTTTCATCACCTCTTTCAAGTAAACCACAATTTCGAAGGCAGATCTCTCCAACTTTTATCATACACAATGAAAATTGCAACTTGAAACGCTGCCTCAATGTAAGGTCGCTCTATAAGCATTTTCAGTATGCCGAGATAACAAAAAAAGATGTAAAATCTCCCAAGAGGCTACCTAGAATAAACGCAGAGATGTGTATTCAGGTCTGGTCTTCGGCCATCTCAGCTTCTAACTCAAGGAGACATCAATAAAGAGGTTTCGAAATCACAAATTTTGTTTCTAGGATCCGACTAGCTTCATAACACTTCCACCGTGCTTCAGTGGGAATGAGGTGATGAATACCAACCTGTCGAGTCACACACACACACACACTTCCCTCTCATTCTTCCAGTGGGATTAGTGAGTCAGTGGCCCTAATTTTGGGGGAGAAGTTCCGCTTCCAAGTGCGCATTTGACGCTCCAGTTGCGCTCAAATTCACATCCACGTGAGTCATGAAGGTGAGACCAAATGGCAAAATAAGAAAAAAAAGCTTAATTTTGAATAACATTCAAAATAGAGCGGTGATATGTGCTTCAAGTCCATCTTGGACGTCCGAATGACACCGTTCATGCCTGATAGGGAAAAACCTCCTTACCACTTATGAAATCCATTTAGAGCGTCTATAAATCCACAAAACTCACAGCCTTAGCTTGAAGTGGTGGCACAAACAAAGTACTCCCAAATTCCAGACCTGCTCTAGCCTAACAGTGGCCACGACGCACGTGTGCCTACGTACCAGAACCGCTCTATTTCACTCACAGGACAACGTGAACGCGTGGAGCTTTAGAGCAGCAGGCGGAGGTAAACTGCAGGTGAAATTGTTTATTGCACATTCCATGCAAAGGTTGAGAACTATCTGCTGACAAAGCCCAAGTAAATGCAAGATACCCAACCCGAGGCGGTATACATATGATGCTGGGAGGATGAGGGAGAGGAGGAGGAAACCATGTCGACAGGCATGCCTTTACTCTCACTTCGCCTGCCATCCTTTCACTGCACCTGTCTCAAGCTCTGAGCAACAGTTGTGTCTGTCTCCTTTATTTTGCACAGGCTGGTAAACTGATAAGGATGGCGGGAGATTGAACTGTTCAACAGCCGTGTTTCTCGAACAAAATACTGATGTGCTTTATAAACCGCATTGGGTATAGAACACTCAAAAACTTATCGACCCTCTCCTCAGCCAATTCCCAGTTCACACACATTGAAGGGAGGAAAGACAAGAGGAGCCATAGGAAACTGAAATGCATCGAGATCAATGCAAAACCCACAAACGTCAAAGGCGGAACTGACCTGCTTCAGTCTAGGCATTGACCGCTTAAAGGGACTTTGCTCTTAAAAAAAACCCCAAAAACAAACCGCCAGAGTAAACTCCTCCACTGTCGAAGGTGAGGTCCTCAAAAAGAAAAGAAAAATACACAAAAGGTGTCTACAATTGTATTTACAGGAGTTAAGATTGACCTTTGCATCAGCAACAACACCAACAATCAGGTCAAATGACAGATAATAAAGTGCACAAGCGAAAGCCAAAAGGAAGGAACAAAAGACAAACTAGTATGTATCGCGTCAGCTTTTCACTACTTAAATAAGTTAAGCATATAGCAAAAAGAGAGAAAGAAAGAGAGGAAGATCCTATTAAAAATCACAGAATGCAAAAGTGGGTAGGTGATTGGTCGAATGGTCACGATGATGTGTAGGTCCTTATTCCTCCAACTCACTTGCCGCCAATCTCATCTCGTCTGCTTGCAACGCAACACTCAAACGGATATCCTTCAAATCAATTTTCTCCATCAACTCAGTCTCCTGTTGAAAGATAGTCTCCAAAGCCGAGGAGAGGCTGCTGGCAGGCAGCAAGTGAGAGGAGTTCTCATGTGCTGTTAGAGTGACAGCATCGTGAAGGCGCTCAAGAGCTTCGTAGGTTGTCGCCACAATTGACACGGCTGTAGCAGCTGAGAGGGGTTGAAGTAAACCCTGGGGAAGACAATCATTGGGACAGTAGGACTCTACCCTTGCTCCTAACACCAACACTCCCAATGTCTGCTCAAGGAACTTCACCAATGCGTCACTCAGTGGACTTGCGAGAGCCGAGTAGAAGTCATTTGACTTGGCATCGAGAATCGCCAACTTGGCAAGCCGTAGAGCCTGTTCGCGAGCACGCAAATCAGAGTCGTCTGGTGACGGCTCTTGAGAGGTAATGCTTGAGGGAGGAGGACAAACAAAGGAAGGAAGACGGTAATCTACGGAACCGATAGGACTCCTTGCCTTGGCATCAGGTGACTTCCGCCTTTTCGTTGCACAGCAAAGGCACGAAAGCAAACGAGAAATGGCGCTGACTTTAGAAACCGGCTTAGAAGTGATGCAAGGTGTAGTCCTCGTGGCTAGATTTGGAGGTTCAGTAGAAGACGTAGAAGCATCTTTTAGATCTATCCAAAAGTAGACGCCTTTTGATGTTTCCAGAAGGCTGAAAAATAAACAAAACCAAAGGATGCAACCAGTGCAAAGAGATACTAGCAGCAGCTATTATCCTGCACAATGCCATAACAAAATGCCGCGCTTCCAGGTTGATAAAAGCCCACAATCACCCACACAAAGGGCAATCAAAAGTATGTTTGTGAAACCAACAGGATGGGTGGAGGAGTACGTTCAAAGGGCAATAGCGGCTGGTCAAAAAATGGTATATGTGGCAATGATGGTAGAGTGGACGGACTCTCTTAGAAGAGGAAGAAGCAGTACACTGACGAAGAGTTAAGACTCTATGAAAACCAAAAGCTATACACGGATTCCACTCTCAGTTCCTTTTGACTGTCGCCATCATCGAATCAAACTTGATGCCTGCAAAAGCCTTTCCTCCACCCTTGAAAAATACAAGTTCACTAACTATAAAACATGTGGAATTAAGGCTGTGGCTGTGGTAAACACCAAAAGTTGCTCGTCCTGAGTCCTTGAAACTGACAAGCATTGCTGACTTTATTCCACCTTAGCTGGAGGCCGCATCAACCGACATTTCACCAGCGGTTCCAAACTTTGCTAAAAGTTGA